AAAAACGCATATTGAAAAAGTAAACAAAAACCAAAAAAAAGGAGCCGCCAAAGAGGCCACCTCAACAACAAAAAAAAAAAAAAAAAAATATTTTACAAAATTGAAAAATTCTGTAAAGTAGATATCATAGATATTCGTTATAGGAATATGTATCAAAATAAATTCTATATGCAACAATAAATCTAGCCTTAGTAGCTCGATTTTGCAGATATAATTAGTTTACTTTTGTATATATATTTCATGATATATATATCAAAATCTATATATTTCTGAGATTTCTGAGACTACATGGTTCTGAAAATTTTTATAATCTAATTTAAACAAATCTACATCTTATATAAAATAGTTAACTTCAGATATGCAGGCTTAAAGAGACTTGTCTATAAACTCATCTGAACTATTTGAATTAGATTTATTAAGACAGCAAATCGCTAAACTTAAAGAAGAGAATAATTTACTTACAGATAAAAATGTGAAGATTATAACTAAGAAAACCAAGCTTGAAGCTAAATATACTAGACTTAAGGCTAAAATTATAGAACTAGAACAGATCACAAAAAAAAATACAGAGCTTAAAGCTAGAATCAAGGTGCTAGAGAGAAATAGAACAGATACTATTACTGAAAATACCAAACTTAGAGAGAGAGTCACAAAATTAAAACAAAAACAGTCACAGAATAATGCTATATATGGATTTTATAGAGCAAGAAATCAAAAATTCTTAATATCTAAATTTTCTACTACTACCTATCTATCCAAGTCTAAATCGTTAGAAGAAATAAAAATTGATAATTTCTTAGATTCAGAAAGTAAGAAAGAAATTAGTAATATAAGAAAGAGGAACAGAGAAAAAAAGCTTTTAACTTCTTAGAATACTGCCTCTATTATTTCTCGTGAATGAAAAAATGTGTAGAGTTTGATTCAAGAAATATCTTTATCCAAAAAAAATCATACAAGCAAAATTTCTGAGACCACATGGTTCTAGAAATCTGAAACTAATAACTCAGTTGATATAATAGAAATATCTCAATATTTAGCCCAATTATATGATAAAGCTTTTATTGCAGAAGAGTGTAAATTAAAGACAAATCAAGAAGAAATACTATATTGGTATCACTATAAAAAAAATTTATATTTCAGGTAAATGAGTTGGGTAGTAGAGATAAAATTGGTAGAAAAAAGACAAGAGGATTAATTTATAATGAAGTTTAAAAACAACTTAATAATCTTTGAAAAAAAAATCACAAGATACAGGGTCATTACTCCCAAACATATCAAGAGATAGTTTGCATAAAAAACTCAGAGAGCTAAGAAAGTCTACAAATTGTTAGAAAAAATAGAGCTAAATAAAATCAAATATATTAGATTATATAGTGCTAATAAACTCTTTCCAACGATCATCTGGTCAACAAAAATCAAGAAACCGAACTACGGTTAGCGCTATAGAAGACGCTAAAGTAAATAATAAACTTGGTCTTACGAAAGTAGGTGTGTTGTTGACGAAGTACCAAGAGTGTAAAACCGAGGAGCGGACTACTTTGGACTGGTTTTTGT